TGTATCGCTGAAGTTTCTCGGAAAGAACTTCTACGGGAAATTAACAAACAAGCAAATACGCAACAACATGTACTTTGAGACAAAACTTCTTTCTTTACTCTTATTATTCTAAACCTTACATCACGAGTAGGCACTTTCAAACATTCCATTGTTACTTTTATTATTCTAAATCTAACCTCACGAGTTGGAAACTTTCAAACAAATTTCTTTGTTTACTTTTATTATTCTAAATCTTACCTTACGAGTAGGAAACTTTCAAACAAGCTTTTTTTGTTTACTTTTATTATTTTAAATCTTACCTCACAGATTCCAGAAAACAGGAAGAATTAAGTAGCTATAGTAACACAATAAGACTGTCCCTAGATAGCTTTAAAAACTTTCTTTATCATTACCAGGGCTGAAAATAGGAGACGATAAGGTAAGTCATTATCTGCTTATGATCCACAACTGTATATAGAAACTTGAATGAGGAAAGTTGTACGAGTGCTTGCTTACCCACCAGCCACATGAAGATAGCTAGCTACACGTGAGATTCATATTCACCAACTTAACAACAACATTCGTGATGTCTCCAATTCATTAACTTGACACTTGCACGCCATAATAACATTATGTTAAACTTGTAGTAAACACATTAACTAGAGCAACTTGATGTAAATGAATTCATTTAGAACTTTTCATTTGTGTAGTGGAATATCATGAGTTCAATTACACAAACAATCATCTATAAGCACATGGATATCTGCATAGCCTGCAACTTATTAGAATAATAGTAATTATTTTAGGGATAATGTTTTATTATTCATAAATAAACTGAAATATAATGGACACAAAAACTGGCAATTAAATACATCCTTTACACTATTTTATAATAAATAGGAAAATATTTAAAGAAATAAATTTTCGATTGTGGAAATACCTTATGGGGACATTACAGGCCAATCCAATCCAGCATGGTAGGAATTTAGGTTAAAAGTATATTTCATTCCCCTTCGAGGAATGAAATATAGCCAGGGGCGGTCAGAAATTACTGTTTCTTTTAACCCCACTGCATAATTAGAATTAAGTGGACAAGGCTTTTAGGAATTAAATGATTACATGACTGGAAGTTTACCAGTTAATTTTCCTAATGACGAATTCACAAACAGTGGGAAAAGCTGAGAGGAGACACGGAAAAGAAGAGAAAGACGGAGACGCATTACAGGCCATTAGTTACTTAGGCTCATAAGTAGTAAACTTTGAAAATATAATGTTATTCAGTATACCGGGACGGAGAGACTAACTTCAAATAATTGGGTTTGTTTCAGCTTTCCTGTGTTATACTTGAATAAATTTTCAAGAAAAAGGGAAGAACGTAAAAACTATTAAGGTAGGGTTTGTAGCTCTCCTTAAGGTCATTTAGTCCCATTTAATATATTTTTGTAAAGGCGGAGGTTGGGAGTTTCACATAGTAGAAATTTGAGGGTGATTTCATTTCGACTTTAAGAATCTCTAAGGGTAACTACCTTCCCACAACTGGCTGCAGACAGTGAAAGGCAGTAGGAGTTGAGACGTTGTAGGTGTAAGCACTCAGCTCTGAACCCTTAATGGATTTTCCATGATAGTTGTCTAGTTTAACATCAGCGTTTGGATTTTGTCGGATAAATGGAATATCTTCAACGCATTTGGGTGTTATTACCACAAGTATTATCCACTATAACTAGTTGACAACTAGGACCGACATTGACAATTCTACCTATTCTTACTCAATACTTATTATATATATATATATATATATACAGAGTTTAGTTTCAAGGTAGCATCATGAATTCAGTCTAACAACCTTAGTTATAGTCCATATCGCCACGTACGGTCATGCTATACCCGACAACCGTACATCTTAACAACAGCCCGCCCCCAGTGGCACAGCAGTATGGCTGCGGACTTACAACACTAGAATCCGGGTTTCGATACCCGTGGTGGGCAGAGCACGGATACCACATTGTGTAGCTTTGTGCTTAATTACAAACGAACAACAGCTCAGTTTCCATTGCAAAAGATTCCGTCCTCAGACTTTCATGTAAAATGCACACTACTCTTACCTGCGGTTTCCATAGTCCATCTAGTGTGGGAAATGACGGTTTCCCAGTGGCTATTTCAACAGCCTAATCACACCAAAATCCATAGATGCTGTGTCAAGTGATTTGACGAGTATGTTCTCGTATGGAATAACATGAATGACTTTTTTATTCTTCAGCTGCTTGAGGTATGCAGTGGTTGAACAGGAGGTATGATTGGAAGCCTTATTTTGTTGAACCCGTAACAGTTCATTCCAACGCAAGATATTTATTTACTCAGATGTAGGATTTAAATTTCTAAGAAAGAGGTATTCCTTGCACTTAACGACATTGGAAAACAAAGAAATATGGATTATCATGGAACACCAGGACTATCCAGAAAGAGACCAGCAACAACTCATTCAGAGCAAAGTGCGGCGTCTTGTATCGGGATTCAAGAACACAGAAGTCAGTGGCAAAACCCGTCCACATGCACCACATAATAATACGTAACATATCAGAAAGCACCTCCGTTTGGAAAAGCGACACCTGTACAAAGCTTATTTCACGACGTATTCATTCAACTGTTGCATATCTCAAGTAGCTGAAGAATGAAATGAATATTCATGCTGTTTCATAAGAAGACATACCGATATAACTTTCTCAACCTCTTTATAAACATTATTTGTAATTGTTGTTGTTACTTTTCATACGTATAATGTGTAAATGAATAAACAGAGAGTTCGGGCAATATGCAGCTTTGATGTATAAATATTCATCTGTCCTCTTAAAGTATAGAAGCAGGACTTGTTAGAAAATAACATTTGTCAATAACTTACGTAAGGATTTGTCAATCTAGAAACTTTTAAAGTTTGATGTTGAAGTTATGTGTAAAATATAATCCAATACGCCAGCTTTTCACGGTCATTATAGTCAGGAAAGAAAAAAAGGCACTTTAAGTATTCTCTATTCAGACATTAAAGTCTCCAGAAACACACTGAGCGTGATTTTAAGGCCTCCCTAATATTTACGTTGTGTTATTCATGATATATAATTATGTTTACTTGTGAAGTTTTTGAAGAATGTTGAGAGAGAGTTTTTTGTGTTATTGTAGTTGGGTTTTTTTAGTGCACTAGATACCTATGTGTGTTGACTTACAAAGAGGCCACTTGTGGTAGCGTGCATTGCACAAGAAAGCTACATTATGGTTACAGTCAATTAATCAATTTGTAGAAAAGCTTTGCCTCTAAATAGTATAGATAATATTCCAGATAATATGGTATATATATTTCAGAGTGCTGAGTAATTTTAGTTCTTTATTCAAATTTTGTTTCCAGTGGCGGATTAATGCAGGGGCTATTGAAGCTGTTGCCCAAGTCGTGGACTCAAAAACGGCCCGTTATAGGTTTAGTTTGTTACCTTATTCTTTAGTTACATTCATAATAGGCTCGGCAGAAAAATTTAAACCCAGGCCAGTCTGACCCTTAATCCGCCCCTGTATGTTTCTTGATACCATAATGCTTAAACTCTTGACAAATTTTTAGTTTATAAATTGTCAATGATCTAATAAAATTCTGCATACATTTTTTTTCATTATAGCTACAACTTCGACATTTTTTTAAATTTAGCCTCTAGAAGAAACCAACTATTGGGCCTATTAAAATTAAAACTATTGAAATCCTATTAAACAAGATCAGCTCCAGTGCTGACCAATCAAGGAATATTCAATGACAATTAATTATTAATGGATGATTCATCTCGAGCAATAATATAATCGACCTGTGGATCCATCTCGAGCAATAATATAATCGACCTGTAAACGATATCCTACATGAACGACACAATTTTAACCTTACTAGATAGAAAAAATTAGACAGATCAATAACACAGGCCTACGAATTTAAACTTCATA